GCAAATAGAATTTAATCCATCCCCATTCATTAATCACAGCCTGTTGCTCAAGTGTTCGTGTTTGTTGTGGGTGTGTGTGTACAGTAGTACATGAATCAGTTTTAAAGTTATTTCTGATAGTTTCATTCGCGGTTGTACAGACAAATTTGACTCATTATATATACATTTATGAATTTGTTTACAATATATGTTAATTAGATTTCATGTGTAATTATTAATGCAAAGTAATGTAACACAGAGTAATATTATGAGCAAATAAAAAAAAAGAAACTTTTACATATAAAATATTGATACCGCATTGTTACGCCATCGATAGGTCTCCAAAAACATCGGGGTTATATTTTGTTCATCGATCTCTAACGGATCATGACAATCTTAGTTGAATATATTTTTTCAGCTCCACTTTGAGACGCGATCCTGCAATCTATGCATTGCAGGTGCTTAAATGCTATGGACCCGTGGCCTGTTTAAATGGTTCCACTATGCGTCCAGAAGCAAGGGAGATGTGCATTAGAGCTGCTGGTGTAAAGTGCGAAATAGATATTTCATTATTGCCGTTTCAATCCGGTATCAATATTTTTAACGTGGTATCATTAGCAGCGGTATTGAGAGGTTCCCAAGAACATTGGGGTTATATTTTGTCTAAAGAAACGTTTAATTTTGTAGTTCGACTTTCCTTATGAAATTATGAAACGATGGAAAAAAAGGGAAAGTTGGTCACTGATAGAATATCGTTCTTCCCTCACTTTCTTGATTGAGCCATTTTAGCGTCCTTCTTTTCATCAATTTGATGATGTGCTGTTGATCTCCATTTCTGTTATATGCCAGGAGTGCCTTATTTTTAAAAGCGTAGTCTGCAGCCGTGTGGCAGGCTTAGCGTATAGTGTCCTGTTTCCTTTCCATAGAGTGATACTCATTTATCAACCTCAGAATGAAGACAGACGAGTGACCCCGGGCAGGGCTTGATTTCAGGCTTGATCCTTGCCAGAAACCATACCATTCTGTGGCCACTAAGCTTTTTTCAATTTCTTATTTCTTTATAGTTTTCATTTTCATCTCTAGATCAAAGCGAGACTAAGGAAGGTGCGTATATGAACTGCTTGGGTTGTCTGTCTTGCGAAAGTCTGCTGTTAGATGGCGTGCGAGTAACGCGAAATTTTATACCTTGAAAAGTTTTCTATGGCCTTCAGGATATTTGCGTAAACCCGGGGGTGTATGACCGCGATTCAATCCAGAGCAATATCTCTCCGCATATCAAAGTGGCTAACCAGCTATGGGATTGGTTCACTGTGGTGTATTCCTGTCCACTTTTCTTAGATTTATGACATCTGTTTTAACTGTTCAGTTTGGCTACACAATCTAAATATATAGATATTAAAAAATTAAAATAATAAGTTTGAACGATCGGTATTCAGCAGTCAGATTGCGCCGATAACTACTCAGTCTTCCTTTGCCACAGTGACTCTTGTATGCCAGAAATGAAATTTTTGCATCTTTTTGGAGGTTATGCTGTTTGTTAAGCGTCTG